CGCCTCCTAATCTCTCTCCCAGGGTGACTTGTTGAGGCCCAGGCTTCCGTTTACGGCCTGTGGCGCACACATATGCCTCTTGGCTCCTCCGCGGGGCTCCGCGGCTGCTGGCAGCGGCTGGCGCCAGCTCCGTCCTAATCCTCACGTCCCTCTGTCTTCCAAACCCAGCGATGGCAGGTTCGCCCACGCCTTGGCCGGGAGACAGGAACAGTTTGGTTGGATTCCCTTTTCAGGGCGACTGCTCGGGTCCCTGCGTGAGCGGCACAGGTGCGCCCGGGGCTCCCTCGGGCCGGGCTGGCTGCCGCTCGGGGCCGGCGCCCAGAGCTACAGGGTGGGCGTCCTGGGCTCTGTGGGCCGTGGGCAACCTGCGGGGGCCTCAGACACATGGGCATGGGAGGTGCAGTTCAGGCTCTCAAATGGAGTGGAGCCGTTCTCTTCCAGGTGAAACGCTAGGCCCTGGCCATGAGACGGCGAGTTTCCCCCCTTCTCCACCCCCCGCCCCCGCCTTCCTTGGCGTGTGTGCTTTGGTTTAAAGTGTGCGTTCAAGGTACAGGGACTGCTCTGGCCAGTATGGGTCAGCCGGTTGGGCATCACCCTGCGTACCGAAGAAGGTTGCCGGTCTGATTCCCGGCCAGGGTGCATGTCCAGGTTTGGGGCTCGATCCCCAGAAGAGGGTGTGCAGGAGGCAGCCAATCAGTGTTTCCCTCTCACATCGATGTTTCTCTCTCTCTCTCAAAATCAATAAAAAATCTTTTTAAAATAGAAAAAGATGCAGAGTAAAATTCAGAGTTCTCCCTCTGACTGCAGGCCCCGTGGGACCCTTCTTCCTGGACGTTGTCTGCCCCCCAGTCTCCCCCACTTGCCCCTCACTGCCCCCCAGCAGACCCAGCTGTCCCCACGCCAGCGTCTGTGCCGGGCGCCTTCCCTCTGCGACGCTCTCCTCCCTTCCCGGCCGGCGGGCTCAGTCCCTCACTCCCACTTGGTCCTGATCCGAACACCTGGGGGGTTCTGGTGAAGCATTTCTTGGGGGAAAACCCCCCACAAAGCTGTGGCTTGTACTATTTGCCCATTTTCACGGTGCAGGAGCCTCCCTGGGGTTGCTTTCAAGTTCCCGGTGACCTCAGGAGCCCGGGGTTGGGGAGAGGCACAGACGTGGCCCCGGAGCCCGTGAGCTCAGCTCCCGCACGTCACCCCTCGCCCGCCCGCCTGCGCTCTGTCCCATTCATTGTCGTCTTTACACGTTGACTTTTCCATAGAATTGAAACGGAAAACCCCCCGCAGCTGTGGGTGACATGAGCTGACCCGAATGTGAAAGGGCCGCTGGGTGCGGATGGGGGGGGTGCGCAGGCCCGGGTTACGGGCCAGTCGGCAGGCGGGCGACCCGACCGCTGGTGTGACACAGGCGGCCGGCCCCCGTGACTGCGTGGAAGGCTGAGGTCGTCATGGAAACAACAGCGTCTCCTAAACAGAGCCCTTTCTGCAGGGAGGCGCGTCCGCTTCTCGTAAGGGCATTAGCACCGGACGTGAACGCTCCGGGTGGTCTCCGCCGCGAGCTCCCGCTTACATACTTGATTCCCCGCGTGGTCTGACGGCCCAGTCCTCCGAACGGCCTCGTTCATAATTGGAGGCCGACCCCGGACCTCTTCCTGGAAAACCAGCCACCCCGACGGTCGGACACACGTTGGGTCTTTCCTCCCATTTTGTATCTGAACCGGTCCAGCATCTCGCGTTCGGGCTAATCGCCGGGCGTGCAGAGGCCGCCCAGACGCCTGGCAGAGAAACGGGCTCCGCCGGCGCAGAAGGGGCTTCGGTGCCTGTCCACTCGTCGGCTTCGGAAGGAGGTGGACTTGCCCGCAGGGCCGTGAAGACACGACATCGGCAGGGCGAGTCCTCGCGTGTAACTTGCGTTGAAGACTTTCGAGTGGTTTTTGAGAAGCCCTCTGAGGCTTAGACCCGGACGCAGGACAGCAGTTTCTCGGCAGGCGCCTGCTCTACGCGCGCGGGCTCCTCGCCCCGGTCTCGTCCTCAGAGGAGACCGACGGGACGTCCACGCCGGCTCCAGCCCTCCTTCCCCCAGCCCCACGGCCAGGGGCTCCTGCTTAGCTTTTATCAGACGCGCCGCGAATTTCCCCGGCCCTGCGGTTTCCCTGCCTTTCACGTCTCCTTCGCTCTCACTGTGCCCCGCGGGGTCCTGACAAGCTGTCCGGCGCGGGCAGGGCCCACAGGAAGGGGAGGACACTTGGCCGCCTAGTGACACCCGCTGTCCCTTATTCCCACCAAACAGAGGCCCAGTTTTTTCCCAGGGCTCTTCCCAGGCAGGGAGGCACCCTGCTGCCGGTGGTGCTCCTCGGAGGGTCCGGCCCCGGGCGGGACACGACCAGTGAGAGCCGAGGGCCCCGGGTGGCCGACGGGACGGGTTTCTTTCTCCCCAGCGAGATTCGCGAGGAAGCCCCCCTGAGGGTCACGCTGGGCCCTCTGCGCCCGTCTGCATCCAGCTTGTGCGGAGTTGGAGGCTGGCACACGTGGTTGGGGCCCCGGCTTCAGGCCGGGCGCTCGGGGCTGTCCTGGTCCGTCAGCTGCTCCACGTGGTTTCCGTTCTTGCAGACAAAGCCCCGCTCTCCCGAGGATTTCGTAGAATTACCGTTTCTGGCGGATAAAGCTCCCTGTTTCTCGGAGGGTGGCTTTGAAGTAATTGGATACAATCTAAGGTTGTTAGACACGAGTGGCTCGTTTGTTGGTGTCAGGGAGAGAGGAGACGCGGGCGCTAACGAGGTTTGCGCTTGGCTCAGATCAAACGCTCCGGCGTGTCCCCGGCTTCGGTGGGTTTTCAGTTCTTATTTTGTACTTTTCTACATTTTAAGACGTTTCCTACAGTGAGGCTGCATCACTGTGTCAATCAGAAAAGGTTATTAATAAAAAGTCAGTTCAGATAAATTTCTCTTTTTTTAAAAAAATATGTTTTTATTGATCTCNGCGCAGCCACTGGGCCCGCCGGCCGTGCGGAGTCCTCTGCGCGGGCTTGGCCGCCCCCCGCCTCTGGCTCACGGGCCGGGTCTGCTCCCGTGTCTGCTGTTCCGGGTAGAAACCCTCCCGTCGAGTCACGGAAACATCAGAAAGGCTCCCCCCTAAGTCGGGGGCGGCTGCTGGCTGAGCAGCCCACCCCCCACCCCGAGATAGGTCCTCTGCTAAATTTTAAGACATTAAATTTTTTCTGGGAAATAGATCTGTATGTGTTTGTTCGTTACCACGTTGTGTATTTTTCAGGTGAAAGGCTGTGGTGTGGGCTCAGAGCTGTCTCCATGCTCCTGGAGTTTATTAAGTGGAGTAAACCTCGGAGGCTCAGCATAAACCCTGGAAGTCACTTGTGCCTTTTTCTGTGACCTCATAGCTCCGGAGCCCCTGAATCCCACGCATCGTCCGGAGTCTCAGATCCCGCCGCCAACTGCGGGAGTCGAAGGGGAGTTTCCACGCAGCATCTCCATCCTGGTTACAGTTTGGGGCGGGACAGAAGTCAGGGCCCAGAAGTACAACCTGGTGGCTCTGTGACCCCGGTCGTTATTTAACCCCTAAGTGTCAAATTCTACGTGTTAAAATTGGGGTAATAACAGCAATACCTGTCTTATAAGGCGGTTGTTGGTGTGAAAGAGAAAATGTAGGTCACGTGCTTACCCAGCGGCTGACGCAGAGGCGTTCGGTAAGCGTTAATTATTATAATCTTAATGCCAATCACGGTCCATCAAATGCCTCTTTGGTGTGGAGCTAGCCAGACACACGTTGACCTTTATTTTCCTGTGTTTTCCCCAAATCGGAGAAGCTCTGTGCTATTGGCTCAGAGGTAACTGCTGCCGCCGGGTGGAGGGGCCTGGGCGTCTCCTAATCAGCACCCTGGACAGGCCCAGGCCCGGCCGCCCGGGTACACGGTCCCGCTTCTAATCTGGTGCAGGGATCAGCGCAGGCCGAAGCCTGAGGGGACACTTTTTAATCACCGACGTGTCTACTGATTTTTATGGTACACTGGCAGGATCAGCAAGGTGACTTGTGATGAAAACTCGGCCTTGCTTTGCTCGTCCCTGGTGTCGGGACTTAGATTTAAAATTTAACAGCCAGAGGTGGCTGGTGGCTACCGTATTGAACGGGGCAGACGCAGGGAAATGTCCCTGTTGGGGCTCCAGTATCGGGTTGGGCTGGGGGACAGATTACCGCCGAAGCCAGGCAACCCCTAAGGGCCCCAAATCAAGAAGAGTCTGATCCCGTCGCGTAACGGGAGCGCGACTGCGAGTGTGTTCAGCCAACCGCCTTGTCGGGCGGTTTGCAGGGTTCCCGTTTCCATTGCTCACATGACTCCGTTTCCTGATGCAGAATTTGAACTGGGTGACAGGAGCCCCGGGGTGGGAAGGAGAAAGCAGATTGCCGAGGCTCTCGAGGAAGTAATGGCCTCTGTAACCAGACAGGCATCGTCCCCGGAAAGCGCACACGTTCTCGCAGAGACGCTTAAAGACCTCTCATTGCTGCGCTCCTTGCGGAAGGGCCCACGAGCCTCACTCTTTGCACTAATAAAGTTCAGTTGGTCAGTTTTCCGTTGCCCACTAGCAGCTGGCAGCTCGGCACATCGATTCGGTGCCGATGGGCAGGTCTGTCACTGTGATTTCCTGGTATAATTTTTCTACATTCTTTCTTTTCCCTTTTCTCATCGCTATTGCCTTACTGCATAATGTTTTTTACTTTTTAAATTGATTTTTAGAGAGAGGAAGGGAGAGAGAGAGAGAGAGAAACATCAATGTGAGAGCAAAACTCTGGTTGTGGCTGCCTCCTGGACGCCCGACGGGTGATGGGGCCCGAGACCCGGGCATGTGCCCTGACCCGGAGTCAAACGCGGCCTTTTGGCTCATGGGCTGGTGCCAACCAACTGAGCCTCACTGGCCGGGGCTCCAGTCAGATCTCCCTCCTCCGTGTCTCCGAATGCTGGTGTGGCCTCACAGTGCCCTTTCCTTTTGTCCTAGGAGAATGAACAGGGGGATGCTGCCCGGGGAGCGCCTCGCCTGAGACCCCAGCATGCGGGCCTCCCTGCAAGGGCCGGGCAGCTGGACCAGGTAACTCACCGCTGTTGACAGGCCCGTGGGAGGGGGTGGCAGGGAGGGGGCGTGTGACCAACAGTGCTGCTTCCGGCTGTGCGCCCAAAAGGCCTGGGGTGGGGCCTGCAAACGCCCTGTGATGTCACGGGAGCCTGTGCCCTGGTGTTGAGGCTCAGATACGAGGACAGCCTGTGCAGTCAGGGCCGTGGCACGTTCCCCCGGAGGACTTGGATTTGTTTCCGAGTTCACATCACCGTAGCAAACGGCATTAAAATCCTCTTGCAAATCAGACCTTCCCGTGGCCTCTTAATAGCAGCCTTCCCACAGCCCTGCGCCACGCGGGAAGGCCCAGGGCGCCTTCCTCTCCTGTGGCTCAGAGACTGTCAGGTTAAAGGAAAGCTCTGTACGTAAAGTGCTTGAGGCAGAAAGGACTTGGGCGACTGGAGAGCAAGGCTTCGGGGTGGCCTATTGTTGAAGCACAATTTGTGCTGTACGTTTGGGGGAGGAGGGGAAGAAGCGGAGTCTGTGGTTGGCTCACATGAAAGGTATGGGGGGAAAACCAGGCACCTTCTCAGAGCAGGGACGTCCTGCTCGGTTCTGAAGAGGCCGCAGGAGAGCTTGAGGGGAAGGGCGCCTCCCGGACCAGCGCTGAACACGGCTCTGGGGCCTGTGGTCCGAGAATGGTCATGGCTCCCGAGGTTATTGGAGCAGCCAGATTCTAATGGGGCCTTATTGCCATTTTTATCCACTTTTAAGATGGGTGAAATTATCTATCTATCTATCTATCTATCTATCTATCTATCTATCTATCTATCTATCTATCTATCATCTATCTATCATCTATCTATCTATCATCTATCTATCTATCTATCTATCTATCATCTATCTATCTATCATCTAATCTATCATCTATCTATCATCATCTATCTAATCTATCTATCATCTATCTATCTATCACCTATTTATTGTTGATATGTTTTTATTGATTTCAAAGAGAGGAAGGGAGAGGGAAAAAGATATAGGAACATCAATAATGAGAGAGTCATCAATCGGCCGCCTCCTGCACGCCCCCGACTGGGGATCGAGCCCACAACCCTGGCATGTGCCCTGACAGAATTGAACTGTGACCTCCTAGTTCATAGGTTGATGCTCAACTGCTGAGCCACGCCGGCTGGGCTATTTATTTTTTAATATATTTATTATTTGTATTTTTTAATCGAATTTATTGGGGTGACATTGATTAATAAAATTATATAGGTCTCAGGTGTACAGCTCTACAATACGTTATGTGTATGTTGGATTGTGTTTACCACCCCAAGTCAGGTCTCCTTCCATCGCCGTTTATCCCCCATTTACTCCCCTCCACCTTTTCCCAACCCCTCAAGATGGGTGACATTTTTAGACAAAAGAATTAGTATCCTGGACAATCTGGGTAACACTTTCGTATCTCTTAGTACTTTCAATTCAAAGGGACAGAACACAATTCAAATTAGTGTAAGCAAGCCAAGGGAATCTATGGGCCCATGTAAGTGGAACGGAAAACATGAGCTTCAGGCGCAGCTTGATCTAGGCGCTGAGATGATGCCATTAGCGTCGTGCTCCCCCCTCTGCAGCTCTTGGTGCCACATCTGTTTCCTTGGCTCTGCTCTCAAATGGGTCCTTCCCTCATCCTGGGAAATGGCGCTTCAGCTGCAGCCTTTTGTGCTCAACTTTCCAAGTCCAGTGGGCAAGAGAGAGTCTGTACCCAGGCTCCTGCACAGGTGCACACCCCGTTCTCCACGGCAGCGGCTGGGTCACGTGGCCCCTCTTGCAGTGACTGCACCGGGGCACTGATCGGCCAGGCTGAATCGCCCCCCAGTTCCGAGCCAGTCCCTGTGGCCAGAGGGAAACATGCTCCAGAGAGAAACGAAGGAGGAAGTGCCCGATGCGG